AGGGCTGTGTGTTATGTAGTCAGAGCAGTTGTGAAGCAAACTCCCCACGAGATCACAATCACTGATTTACCGAGACTGAATAACTTCTGACAACTTTCAAACTACGTTGAGTGTCTCAAAGCAGACAGACAGATGTGGCTACAAGACCTATCAGTACTACGTGATGATCCAATCTACGACAACAGACTTTCGCATGCAAAGTAGAAGGTGAATAGAAAGCATGGAATAAAAGCTGTTCGGTTTACCCTCGTAAATGCTTTTCAACAGAGGAAATAATCAGTGAGCAAATTAAGAAATATGGTTTTGGTGGAGAAAATTTGTAGCTCAAGATGACGACTGAAATTGTGTGTACTGTTCTCTGAGCTTTGATATTCGGTCGTAGATGTTTTATCATCAGGCTCAACAACATCTTCATTACTATACTCATTGGGAATAAAGGCGTATTCAGAATGTTAGGTGAATATTTAGGTTTCCTATTTCTTGTCCGATTGTAATGAGAGAAAAGAGTTTTATTTTGTAACATTTTCACCTTATATATTGTCGTGTGACACGAGAGTAATTCTCCTGGGTAGTATGTGAGTAAGGCTTCTTTGCTGATCCACTTGGTCGACTTTTTCCACTTAGTGGATGGATGATTGACCTATGGGAAGTTTTGACTTAGTGTATGCAAATAATGCAGTCATATTAGTTGAAAACGCTGAAAAATTAATTTCGCATTACCTATTGGTGCCAACATGAAGCCAAAGTGAACGAACACAATCACCCTGAGAAACAATCTACGTATTTATACTTTCTCTCTTTCCTTTATTTATTGATTAGGTGAGAATTGAAGATAACATCGTTGTAACAGAAACCGGTCATGAGCTTCTAACAGATGTTCCTAGAACTGTAGAAGAAGTCGAAAATTGGATGTCTACCAAAGCTGAAAGTAATGGAAACATATAGATTTATCTGTCTTCCAAACTCCGGTGTATGATTACTTATTGTATCAAAACTGAAAAGCTGATTATTTTTCTACCTTTCATTTGTATTAATTTTCTGTGCGATGTAAAACTGATCATCGATAGCGTTTGGTTTGGTGAATAAGTGGTCATTTCTTCTCTTCTGAATATTGTAACCCAGTGAGACGGTGACTGACAATTCTATTACAGTATTGTTTAAATGATTACTGTCGTTTGTTAATATTTATTATATAAATTACAACCAAACCGAGCTTCGATTATGATGAGGAGTGAAAGCTACTCAAACGCAAAATAACAAGAAGTCTTCGCAACGACCGTGAACAGTCGTGGGCAACAAGAGCTAAAGAGATGGAAAAGCCATCGGCGACTGCTAACACCAGACAACTACTTAGGCTTATCAGGGAAACAGAAGATATTAGGCAAACGATAAGTGAAACAATCTCTGGGAAAAATGGCACGATAATTAGCTTCCAGGATAGACAATTAGGATGTTGGAAAGAACACTTTGAGAAGCAGTTTAATTGGCCTACAGCCACGCTCAACATTCCGAACATCCAACACCTCCCTGAATGTGATATAGACACAGGTCCTCCGTATCTAACTGAGATTACTAAAGCTGTCACTAATCTGAAACAAGGCAAAGCAGCAGGACCTGATGGAATCACTCCAGAGGTATTTAAGTAAATCACTGATTATCCACATACACAAGAAGGGAGACAAGTCCTCCTGTGATAATCACAGGGGGATTAGCTTAACTAATATAGTATCTAAAGTCCTAGGCTCAATAATCATGCGTAGACTAAGTGGTGCTCGGGAGACACAAACACGAGAGAACCAGGCAGGCTTTAGATCAGGAACAGGGTATATTGATCGTATCTTCACCATTCCGCAGATTATAGAACGTAGGCATTCTAACCGGCCTCCAACAATAATTATATTCCTTGACCTAAAGACGGAATACGATTCTGTCGACCAAGAAGTACTCTGGCGGTGCTTGGCTGTTAAGGGAATGACGAGAAAATAAATTGCACTGATCAAGCCACTCACTCTACTCGAACTCTTCCAGCCAGGTGAGGGCTTACGGCAAGCTGTCATCTGAAGTGGTGACGGCTACTGGTGTCCATCAGGGATGCCCATTATCCCCATTTCTATTCAATTTTATCACCCTAACTCACTTCAGGGACTCTGTAATTGACTTGTTAACACAGGGTAATCTGGTCGACTTACAATATGAAGATGACACAGTCCTTCTAGGTGGAGATGCTGAGAAAATGCAGTTTTCTGAACAACTTGAGTGGCAGTCTACGAATGTTCGGCATGCGATTCGCTCCCACCAAATGCAAGATGATGTTACACAACTGGACTACACTGACTGTCATTTTAGAGAGGTTTCGTGTGCACTTCGGATTGTGAGGGCGATTGTTACTTTCCGGCTGCGCCCACACCGTGGAAGTTGGTTGCGTGACCGCAGAGCACAGGATATAACTGCTTGAGGCCGGTCACACGCGGCCTGTTTTTGTTTGTTCTTTATTGTTCGGTGTGTCTCAGCAGCATATTTATCACTCCTCCCCTATGACACGGCAGCAGGAAGCGTGGTCGTTGTTCATCCGGGCCCCGGTCGATCCGACATGATATTTTGTGAGATTCTATGTATCATAGTGTTGGATTAGGTAGCTGCTTTTTGTCTAACCGCTATCCAAACAACCTTTCTGGCATGGTAGGACCTCAAGAGACATAAGTCTCAACCAGGATAGCTTGATTAGGTCATTGCGGTGTTCAAGCCCGACCACCACGTCAAGGTAGCAGCTTCCGGTCGAGACTACACTGACTCCTAGTTTAGAAATAGGGATTTAAGTAGTAGACCATGTTGACTACTTCACTTATTTGGAAAGTACTCTCAGCCCCAACGGGTTGATCTCTGACGAAATCTCAGGACGGATACAGAAGACTCATTTCGCATATTCCACTTTACGCCGTCTCTGCCGTAGGCGGGATATCCGGCTATCGACCAAAGGGCGGGTGTACTGCTCATCAGTCCGCTCCGTCCTCCTCTACGGCTGTGAGACCTGACCATTGAGAGTGGAAGACATGAAAAGATTAGCTGTCCTTAATCATAGGTGCCTGCGCTCTATCTCCCGTGTGAAGTGGTATAATAAGGTGAGCAATATCGAGGTTAGGCGTCAGTCGAGTGCTAGGTAAGGAAGGGAAATCAATCGACGGGGCTGTGAAGCTATATCGACTGAGATGGTTAGGACATGTGTTTGTTACGCATGCCTAACTATAGATCGCCTTCCTCGACGGGCAGTGTTAGCCGATATAGGGTCAGACTGGAAAAGAGCTAGTGGCGGTGGTGGTCAAACCAAAACATCGCACCAGTCAATGGAATCCACAACAGTTAGTTTTTAAGCCAGCCACGTAGGAAGGTGTAGACTTCCTGACTAGTTGGGTTCTTCGGAACGGTAAAAACCAATGGCTGGAAAAAAATTGCTTATATGGCTCAAACTCATCGTTCTCAATGGCTAGCGCAGATGCATCCACTCCTTGTGGCTTATGATTTCAAATGAAACTATATTGTTCCTCGTTATTACCATTTCTTTGTCTCACACCTCTGTTTACTGTCACTATTATGCATTTCTTCTACTTTCTTCTCTTGCTTTGTGTGCTACAAGGAGGGAGTGTGGCGACTTGAACTGCCACACATATGTGCAAAGTTCTATGTCGAAAACAGACATTGTCTGAGCCTACTGAGACTTATATATTGTACATAAATATCCTACCGTGTAGAGTTAAGCTAAGCATGTAGGTTGGAATGAATATTGGACACACGAAGAATGTGACAGCTATGCACCAAGTTTCCAAGCGTTGAATTATGCAGCACGGACTTACTAAATGGAGCTGATATGGGATACTTAATGTGATATGATGCATATCCATTATTTCATCTAATATTACTCTTATGTATGACATGGTGAAAATCAAACTGGATTGTTTTGTCAATAAGGTTCCTTACACTGTGTCAAGAAAGAGTTGATTAGTTCGAAATATCGTAATTTAAAGCTAAGCTATTCATTATTAGCTGGTTTGTTTTGAACACATTCTCCATATATTGGCAATAAAAATGGATTAGCAGTGAAAACTAAGACACATATGTTCATCCTCATATAGTGTTTCTAGAGGGTTTTTACCTGGCATCTATCAACCACTACTTTTTAAGTTAATTGGTCGATGGTAGCTAGCAGAGGAATTCAGGATGCGCATTTCCTCCTATCTGAGACTCGTCATCTGGATGTACCTGCATTTCGCAGTAAGTGACGATGTTCCCACCGAGGTTCGAACCCAGTGCCCATAGTTTCAAACGCCAAAGCATCACCCACTAGACCACTTGGGTCATGAAAGCCACCTCTTGTGTAACGGGTCATATTAATTATTGAATTCAATTTTAGATTTTCCCGTCGACTGATTGAACCGAAGTGTTCGGCCTCGGGTTGACGTGTCTGCTTCTTGTGCAGATGCATCCTTGATTCCACTGCTAGTCAATATCCACCAATTAACTTCCAATTATATGCCCAGACATCGTCAAAGCATCTGCACAAGAAGCCGACATGTCAACCTGAAACAGAGCACTTCGATCCAATCAATCGACGGAAAAATCTAAAATTGAATTATGCACATTACTTTTTAAGGCTGAAACTTTTACTAGAAGTTAATCACTTCAAAAGCCATTCGCTAGGCTACTGTATTTTACTTTCCTTACTGCTAACCTTTTAATTACCAGGATGTTTATCATCATTTTCTCACTTAGTACCAGCAATTAGTACTCTATTATGCCGAACTTGTCTTTCCTTACTGAAGTTTACATAAAGAATACGACTATGTGATTTATACTAACGATTTCATTATGAAATAACCTCCAGTCTACCATCAGAAAAAGAACACGATAGAGAAAAAAACTTCTATGTATATTATATTCCGAAGGAAATATGTTTTCTAAATACAATAAAAAATATTGAGGTAAAATTATAGCAGTCAAATAAGTGCTTACATATAACGTCTAAATACTGGCAGCATGAATCTAGTATACCATGGTAAACGATAATTGGATTCATAAATTAATTGGCCTAAAGTCACAGGATAACAATACTTGGAAGAGAAAATATGATTTCTTTCTTCATGCAAATGTTGACTTAGTTGTTTACTGAGTGTAAATACACACAATTGACTTTCAACATCTCGATGCAATGAACGATAGCTATAGTTTGAAGAACCGATAAGTGATAAGCTGTACGAAGGATTGTTCACACCACCATCACGACCAATAACTCCTTCAACCCATAGACCTTTAGCATGAAACGTCCATTCAGGTCTTTGATACTCACAGACACCAAAACAATTCGACTTTACTCCAGTGTGAAATGACTGAAGTAGTTGAATAAGCGCCTCTCTATAAGCCAATGGTATGTAACCCGAAATACCTTTTGACTTCAAAAATCCATTGGCCTGAAAAGCAAAAATTATAATTTAAAAGATACCTTCGATTTAAATAATTTGGGATTACGAGAAACAATGAATATGTGGTAGATATACACTACGATTAGCTAAATCCAATCTTCGTTGAAATCACTTCAGTGGGTTTAAAAATTTCCATGAACAGGTATGAAAGTTCAAGGTGTTCAACATTCCACAACAACGTATAACGTGTAAACCCAATCAAATAAAAATAAACTAAATAGATTAAGGTAAATAAAAAGAATATGGAAATTGAAAATAAATGTTAGAAAATAAATAGATTTCGAAACCGGGTCTCCGAAATGCAGCAGACATCGTTAGAGAGGTTTCCCAATGTTTTCACTAGATATACCGATTCGCATCAATGTCCTAACATTGTATTTGGCAAGCATGAACGCGGCTTCAGGATATATGTGTTAGGTGTCCACTGGGGACACCCATTTTAAAGACTACTAGCTTACATCTCGAAACGGCACATATAGCTTGAGAATTCAGAAAAAGGTGAAAGGCTGACGAAAGTGAAGACGCCAAGGATAGCAAAAGTAAAACACAGGACTCTATGCATAAAAATAAGGTTGAAAAGAAATGCGTCACTTGAAATATCATTAATGTCCTAAAGCTTTGTAAAGAGCGTTCGATTAGTTCCACTGATAGCTCGTTGTTCAATTTCACTGATTGTGTGAGGGCTGAGATACTGTCTGGGCGCCCAAACCTTATCTTACATTACATCCGCCGATTAAAGGTGAGTATGCTTACTATACAAACAGTGGTTGAAGCAATAAATACGTTCAAAACAAGTAAAATTGTAAATGTTAGTTCGTCCTCGAAACTGATCGAAAAACAACCAAAATTGTTACTTGAGAAATAAATAATTTAGACAAATTACCGTAGGTGAAGCACACAAGAGATTCACTGTTGAGCCCTGACTGAACTTCACAATGTCAACGAATAACTTTTCATATGACTTCGTCAAATTGAAATAACCAGAAGCTAGAAATAATTTGATGGAGGAATGAACCTGATCGGTAAGATACTTGAATAAACGTTGCATAAAATCTTCTTCAAAACGAATATTACAATGTCCATACTGAAGTAAAGGGATTATATAAGTGTCCTTTGTTGACGAAGTATCCGTATTACAGCTTTCTTCATACTTGCTCTTAAAGAAACTAGTTAAAGCATTGTGAAGTTTCTGTCGAAAGACAAATGAATTAGCTGTAACGAAGAAAAATTAAGAGAATTGGCATATTGAATATCATTACTAGGCGCCATGATGCTAGAAAATAAGGAATGCGTTTTACTCTTAGGGTTACAGTCAGACAGTTGTTAAGCACAAGCTTTTACTTTGAATGATGGTTGTGGGTTACATTTTCACTGAACATCATTTATCATTTTCAAACAATGACTTGCTCTTCCCAATTAGAACTACTGAGATTAGTCTCTTTGTTAAAAGGATGATGGATTTTGAAAGGAACACAGAAGGCCAACAGTAAAATACCTAAACATCGGAATCCATCAAAATTCTGCACGGAAATTTAAATGTTAACATTCTTAGCGTAGTAAAACCCAAAGTTTGTTCTTTTTCTGACTGTTGTGCAGAAGAGTGGGAACTTGAACTGATGTACCTCTTTGACGGGCTTATTAACGACTTTTCCATTTGTGATTCTTTAAGCCCAAAAGTTTGAGGTTATTTATCAGCTGAATTTAAATAGATGCACTGATTATCTATCTCTACGGTTAACTAAAACTATAATTATAGAACAATAATGAAGTAAAATACGCTTAACGAAGAAGGGCATTTATGCCAGCGACAGCTGCCGATATAACTCAAATTTTTTGTGTATCACGATGAACCACATTTGTTATGTGATGACTGATGATACCATTCAGCTCCGTAGTCTGAAGCAGGTGATGGCGAGATCCGTACACAGGACCAATTAGCTGAAAGTTGAATGCTTAGGCCAACGACTCACACCTCTACCCGTGTATTTATCTATATGCTGCTGCTCAGCTTATTTACGCGGAGAATCTCAAAATTATTGTGTTAATGGGTAAAAATGAATAAACACGAATAATAACAGGGATACTCCTTGAAAATACTAACCTGAGAGAATGTCTTTTTTATTAGCTGTTACACTACCATCTGGGTGAAGGGAATGGCAAAATTGACTAATTACATGTACAAGATCAGAATAGAAATTGGCTAAATCGGGGCTATTTTTAAATATCCATGTTCTGTCTTGTCGACTTGTAAAATATTCATGACTTAAATTTGCGCTGATTTTGAAAAATGAATAAATATGGGATAAAAAAACAATGAAACAACTAGCTTAAAAATTACAATAAAGTCGTTTGTTTAAAGGTTTCAAATAAAGTCTAGAGATTTGATATAATTGTGGCTTTTACTTTTGTTAATGCTGACTGATTGCTGCCACCTTGACGTGGTGGTCGGGCTTGCATATCGCAGTGACCCAACAAGCCACACTAGCTGGTACTAATGTTCCTGCAGGTCCTACCATGCCAGGAAGATTGTTGGGATAGCGATTAGACCAAAAGCAGTTACACTATTCTGGGAGTCTGTGGGCAAAGTCGTATTGCTGAGGAATAGGGATGTAACAGCAGTAAGGTGATTCCCTCAGATGCTAGACATGTCAGCCAGCTATGCTCTCTCCTCTCTTGGAAAAGAGCCAGTGGCGGTGGTGGTCAAACCAAAACATTGCCTCATCAGTCAATGGAATCCACAACAGTTAGTTTTTAAGCCAGCCACGTAGGAAGGTGTAGACTTCCTGACTAGTTGGGTTCTTCGGAACGGTAAAAACCAATGACTGGAAAAAAATTGCTGATATGGCTCAAACTCATCGTTCTCAATGGCTAGCGCAGATGCATCCACTCCTTGTGACTTATGATTTCAAATGAAACTATATTGTTCCTCGTTATTACCATTCCTTTGTCTCACACCTCTGTTTACTGTCACTATTATGCATTTCTTCTACTTTCTTCTCTTGCTTTGTGTGCTACAAGGAGGGAGTGTGGCGACTTGAACTGGTGCACATCGGTGCAAAGTTGTATGTCGAGAACAGACAGACAGTGGATATGAAAATTAGTGCATACCTGCACACTTCTACCCGAATTAAAACTTATTGACTCAATGGTTAATATTTTTTGTTTGTCATTCGATAGTCCCAGTGGAGCCGTACTTGAATACCACTAAGGAATTTTGAACCAAGAAAATACAATCACCCAGTGTTCTTTGAGTTCCTGAGGTTGTCAAATTGATGCTGATTAGTAAAATCCACCTTCATAGTAATAACTATCAAAGGTTATTCTCCTGACAGTAATTCTTTTTCATTAATTTAATGGTCTTCAACAAAAACAAAAGTGGCCCACGAATGCTGGTCATTCAAACTGAATTGATTGTGACTACCTCATAAAACAACATAGAACTTACAAAGAAATACATGCATTTAAGTTGTTATGTTTCAACAGAGTATACAACAAACAAAAGAACAGAGATGACATTCAGTAAAAAGTGAACACAACTAATTTATTGTGTGAATGATTTTGAGCGATATCACAACAATTGATTGTTACATCCAAATGAACCAAGCCAAACAGGCTACATCTACTTAAAAGGCTCGGTAGGGGGAATCAATGGCTTAGTTCTCTGGTGCTGCTTTAGCCCAAAAAACAAGAATTAAATAGAATGAAACATGTTTTGATTTCTGTTCTGCAGACACCCACAAACCATCAAATTATCACTGATTAATACAACGCATTAGGCCAGGAAAGAGCGAACAATATACTTGATATGTTTATGGATAACAACACGGAGTGAAGAAATCAGTGCGATGAAAATCTCTGTCAACTGAAATTGTCAATCTATTCTTAGAAGCAATTATTAACCACAGAGACACTTCCAAAAAGGAAGTATCGACAACAATGAGTAAACTTATTTTGTCTCGGTTATTCACCCCTATTCGTCACTGTGATAAAGTAAGAGACTTTGCCAGTAAGTTACGCAAGTCATTACTGACCGCTGTATATATATATATATATATATATATATATTGACAGAATTTAACCAATGACTTCTAAACCTACCCACTCATAATAAGTGAATCATCAAAGACATATGCTTTGATATGTTGAACACCAAATATTTCATTCCAACGATTAGGCAGTAAATATTTGATCCATTTATAAGGAGAAGGATGTCTGTAGAGTAAAATAGATACATCAGGTAGGGTAGTCAACGGAGCCAAAAAGTGACATGAAGAGAATGGGACAGGTTCTAAAAGGTTTCCAGTGGACGAGGAAGTACCTGTGTTGCCTATACCTGAATAGTATTTAGTCGTAACGGTGGGTCGTAAACCGCGAGTAGCATCCATTAGAATGGTAAGTTTCACATTTCTTTCACGAACGGCTTTTGTAAGCGCAGTAACCTAGAATACAGAAGAAATATATGTAATAACTGAAGAACACACTAACAGATATGAATCACAATGATAATTCAACAAGCAAAAGCAAAGTAGGAATAACTTCTTGCCTAAACTGTAAAATACAATCCTTAGAAAATATGTATGCGCGAAAATCTGCTTATATTTGACGAAAACATCAACAGGAAGCGATTAATTTCAACTCTTAATAGGTCTCCTATATCATATGAAGGACTAAAAAAAGTGCAAATATTACAGTCGTTTATGGTAAACAAAAATATAATTGCACACATTTATTCCCCTTAATGAATTTGAAAAAAGCGAGAACTACAGTTTTAGCAGAATAAAATGGTACCATCATTGTTTATTTCGTTGCCTTCTCGTCAGCTGCTTACATGGCAAAGACATTATTAAATATATCTACAACAACAATTTTAACATACTTGCACAGAGTTCATTTTAAACAAAAATCAATCAATATACGCATACACCAAAAATATACATATATAAATATGCAATATTAAACGTCCAGAAAGAAGCGGTTATCAGTCTTTCTTTGCCCTGACTGGTAACTGGATAATTTCACCTCTCTTTCTTCCGAATGCGAAATGCTAAAAGTTTCCATTGTGTATGATTATTATTTTTCGGAATAGTGGTTAATATTGCATATTTATATATGTTTATATTTTTAGTGTATGCGTATATTGATCGATTGATTTTTGTTTAAAATGAACTCTGTGTGTGTATGTCAAAATTATTTTGTAGATATGTTTAATAGTCTTTGTCATGTAAGCAGCTGACGAGAAGGCAACGAAATAAACAATGATGGTACCATTTTATTCTGCTAAAACTGTAGTTCTTGCTTTGTTCAAAAATATGATTTCATACATTTATTCCTCTTAATGAATTTGAATAAAGTAAGAACAACAGTTTTTGTAGAATAAAAATGGTACCATCATTTATTTCGTTGGCTTCTCATCATCTGCTTGCAGCCCAAAGGCATTATTAGGTATATCTACAGAAACAATTATAACGTCGGTGGCACAGTGGTTAGGACTCTCGCCAACCATGCACATGGTCCGAGGTTCGAGCCCACGCCGACGCACGCCTGATATCTATGGTCGGCCTGCGAATTTTGGGCTACCGATATCCACGCTGAAAATTCCATACTTGTACCAAAATACGGTGTGGAATCAAGCTGTAATCAAAAATAAAAATAAAATAAAAATATATATATACTCTAAGTAAGAGAGTTCACAAAATGATGAATGGAGAGACTACGCAATTTGTCACATCCAAGAGCTTTTCAATTTCTATCGGAAATGTTGTTTACGAAATGGAATACTGTTAAGCGGAATTTGAGCTCCAATAATTCGAGCCTTTTAGAAGATAACCTACACTATATAGACAGCCGTAAAGTATCAGCTCTCCACATGTTTCCAAATGCATTATTATGTTTTTCATTTCTGACTTGCTCATCATAAATGACTCAGTAAGACCAAAGGCGGATAAACATAGGTATTTCCCTCGAAATGCTTTCATGCGGTCACACGTCCAGTCTCTGCTGGGGACTAGTATCGCACTCCTATTTACAGTCTTCACACAGTGGAGATTATTCTTACAAAAATGAAATCAAAATGCAAATGTTCACCAGTTACTACCGGACAGGTGAACAAGAATAGGGACACCTGAAACTATGAGAACGAGGTGACTGATATCGATTTTTTGCCTTGAGGGCGATTTTTCAAGACACCTATCTGCTTCGGTCTAGGCGTAATCAGATTTTTTTCCTTCACGTTCCCAGTGGAACATAGGGCCTCAAGCTAGTGGCTAGAAGTTTCTGTAGCAGTGTTTATTTTACAGGATGGGGTTGCTAGCCTCGAGCCCAACCTTTCCTCTTTACCAGCATTATTTCTGGCTCAGCGAGGTAAAGGAGTGAGTTGGCGGCCGGGGATCAAACCCCGGACCACGTGTTTGTCGGCGAGCGACCTAACCGCTTTAGCATCGGCGTAATCAGATGTCTCATGGAAAAACATGAAAATACACATTATTAAGAAACTCAACAAATCTCAAAGCTTTCGCAAACTACTACACTAATCATATTTTCACTCATTTGATGTATCGCCATTTTATTTTTATTCTAGTGTATAAACTATCTTGTTTTATTTTTATCGTCTTTACTTTTTTCAGTATCTTCACTTTCCTCAACTGTTCGCTGTTGCTAAAAACCTCAGCCTATTTGTACCATTTCGATACCCTGGTTAGCTACTTTCAAAAGCTAACCTCTAGTGACATATAGCTATTTCGACACCATCTGTCGTGTTCACGTTTGCCTCTTACAACACTCGATCATTGATTCACAATAGACAGCAGACAAGTCTGACCAGAACTCGGAGAAGGTTATGTTAGTGCGTACTGCGTCTTACTGAAGTGCATCGAATATACTCCACCTATAGTCCCGAATATCGTGTTCCATGCGCACATATCGTCGGAACACGTGACATCAGTGGCCAGCTAAGTTAGTATCGCTGTCGCACTAAGCGCTAGAAACGAAACTGCATCAAGCGACTGGACCCCATTAATGGTCATTTATGTACTGTTAGGCTAGTTCTTACCGCAGTAAGAAATAACTGGCTAAAAAGTTTATAAAGTTATACTTGTAAAATCTTAGCGAAATTGAAATTAATCATTTCAATTTCTCTGAGATTTTACAAATATAACTTTATAAATGTCTACTTCTGACTCAGTGCTTAGTTATTTTGCAACTATCCGGTCAAATCTTGATCACAGTTCATATGGCTAAAAAGTTGTCATTTCGTGATATCTGCTTGTACACTAAAGCCTTGAAGCCTGGATGCAATTAAGGATAAGTTCTATAATCGAGCAAGTGCATCCAACAGATATTGCAGTGCAATTAGGGGAATTGAAGTAACAGACCGGGTATCTAGGCTCACAGGAGAGAAGTTTGGGTGGTCAGTGGTGACTGAGTGTTTGCAAGGCACGTAAAATAAACAGTCTCACAGCCTTTGAAAGTAACAAAATTGTTATCATATTACTGTTCCCCATTCACTTCTTTTCCCTGTTTTGTCGTTCTTGTGCATCTTAGTAGTGTTTATGAGATTTCACCGTGTTCTTTATGTTATCCCTGACCCCTCTTTATACTATATCGATTAGTACATATTCAAATAGATGAAAAAGTATTCCGTAGACCCCTAAAACCATCCTGCTAACTTCATGTTACCCCTTTTAACATTCAAGCATTATTTGGATTCGTACAATAACACCAATATGTCGAAATTTTAAATTATGGATGAGTGTCGCAGACTTTCACAGTCGACCTAAGTGTGGCTAGTTACTTAATTGTCCCTGATCGATGTGATAATTCCCACAAGTCCGCTGAAATGGGGTTTGGGATGAATTTCAGAGGAGGTAATTTACTGATTCCAGTCGACATTCCCGTAATTTATTTTTCAAGTAAATGGATCTGTAAGAATTAAGAATAACTGTGGTCCCAAAATATACACAATCTTAATTGCTGCTTACATATCAGCTATAGTTTGAGTGATGCAAAAGAACTATTTTCAGAATGTTTCATATGCTTTCCACACTTTTCTAATCTAAAAAGGTGCTTCAGGACTAGCATACATTGATATCACAAACAATTAATAACAAACAGTGGGGTGGTTGAGCATAATGGAGATTGACATTAGCCCTGACTGGTTGGAGATTAAGGAACCATGCAGTAGATATAAGAGGCCCATCCAAATTTTATCACACTCAGGATTAATAAAATTAACTGCTAAGAGTCGAGCCTACTGAGCAGCACTCATACTTTAAAGTTTTGAAGTACAACTAAAAGATTAGAAACAAGTTCAGGCATATAGCTAACCTTGTCTACCTAGGAATACCTGTGGTGAAATCACAGTGTGAGCGATTCAATCATTTGATGAGGTCATGAGCCACAGAGTGAATTTTGGTCGCAGCATGTCTGTCTGTTTTCGACATAGAACTTTGCACAAATGTGCGGAAGTTCAAGTCGCCACATTCCGTGTAGCACGCGAAGCAAGAGAAGAAAGTACAAGAAAAGCATAATAGAAACAGTGAGCAGAGGTGTGAGACAAAGGAGTAATAAAGAAATACAAAACAGTTTCATTGAAGATCATAAGTCACAGGGAGTGGATGCATCTGCGCCACTGAGAACGATTTTGAGCCATGTCACCAATTGTTTCCAACCATAGATTTTTACCGTCCCGAGGACCCCAGCCTGGAAGTCTACACCTTCCTACGTGGCTTAGACCAACTGTTGTGGATTTCATTGACTGATGCCAAGTTTTTGTTTGACCGCCGCTAGCTTTTTTCCAGCCTGACCCTATATCCGCTAACATTGCTCGTCGAGGGAGGCGATGGCTTGGCATACGTAACACATGTCCTAACCATCTCAGTCTTTGTAGCTTCACGACTTCGTCGATTGATTTCCCCTGTTTACCTAGAACTCTACGCCTAACCTCCATGTTGCTCACCTTATTATGCCACTTTACACGGGAAATAGAACGCAGGCACCTATGATCAAAGACAGCTAGTCTTTTCATGTCTTCCACTCTCAGTGGCCAGGTCTCACAACCATAAAGGAGGACGGAGCGGACTGATGAGCAGTACACCCGCCCTTTGGTCGATAGTCGAACATCTCGTCTACGCCAGAGTCGGCGTAAACTAACAAATGCGAAACGAGCCCCTTGTATTCGTGCTGAGATTTCGTCAGAGATCAGCCCGTTGGGGCTGATGGTACTTCCCAAATAAGTGAAGCGGTCAACGTGCTCTACCACTTCACTTCCTATTTTTAAACTAGGCGTCGATGTAGTCCAGTCCTGTAACATCATCTTGCATTTGGCGGGAGCGAATCGCATGCCAAACATTCGTAGATTGCGGCTCAAGGTGTTTAGAAGACTCTGCATTTCGTCAGCGTCTTCGCCTAGAAGGACTATATCGTCTGCATATTCCAAGTCAACGAGATTATTCCCGGTAGCAAGTCAATCCCTGAGTCGCTGAAGTCACCTAGGGTTAAGTCCATTAACACATCTATGATGAAGTTGAATAGAAAAGGAGATAATGGGCATCCTTGACGGACACCACTGGTCGTCATCAGTTCAGATGACAGCTCGCCGTAAGCCCTCACCTGGCTGTATGAGTACGAGTAGAGTGCCTTAATCAGTGCAATATATTTTCTCGGAATTCCCTTTACAGCCAAGCATCTCCAGAGAACTTCCCGATCGACAGAGTCGAATGCTGCCTTTAGGTCAAGAAATATAATGACTGTTGGACGCCGGTAGGAATGCCTATGTTCTAGAATCTGTCGGAGGGTGAAGATATGATCAATACACCCTCTTCCTGGTCTAAAGCCTGCCTGGCTCTCTCGTGTTTGTGCTTCCCGAGCACCACTCAGTCTACGCATGATTATTGAGCCTAAGACTTTAGATACTATATTAGTCAAGCTAATCCCTCTGTGATTATCACAGGAAGACTTGTCTCCCTTCTTGTATATGGGGATAATCAGTGACTTACACCAACCCGATGGGACTTCTTCTGATTCCCAGACGCTGCCTAGTACCTCAGTTAATCCGGACAGTAAGCTGTCTCCACCGTACTTAAATACCTCTGGAGTCATTCCATCAGGTCCCGCTGCTTTGCCTAGTTTCAGATTGGTGACAGCTTTAGTAACCTCAGTTAGTGACGGAGGACCTGTGTCTATATCCCATTCAGGGAGGTGTTGGATGCTCGGAAGGTTGAGCGTGGCTGTGGGCAAATTAAACTGCTCCTCATAATGCTCTTTCCAACGATCCAGTCGTCTATCCTGGAGCTAATTATAGTGCCATTTTTTTCCGAGATTGTCTCACTAATGATTTGTCTTCTCCCACCCGTTTCCCTGATGAGTCCAAAGAGTTGCCTGGTGTTGCCTATCCTCGAAGCTTTCTCCATCTCTTTGGCTTTTGTCGCCCACCACTGTTCACGGTCCTTGCGGAGACTTTTCGTAAGTTTCCTCTTGTGCAGCTTTCGCTCCTCATTGAATTCGGAGCTCGCCGGAATAAGTCTTCTAGCATCTATCAGTTCGGATGAGGCGGTGGAGATCCAGTGGTTTTTACTCACCTTTGGGTTTACCTTATTCACAGCTTTTACAGCTGTATCTATGGCTGCCTGGATATTTTTCCAAGCTTCTTCAGGGTGAGCACAGCTGTCGAACACAGATATGTGTTTAGCTAGTTCTTCCTGAAATACGGATTTAGTTTCCTGATCGAGCTGGGGACGTGATGGTTTTACCGCCAGCTGTTTCCTACGTCCGTTCAGTCGTAAGCACACCCGAGCGCGGACCAGTGCATGGTCGGTATCTACGCACGTGTTCCAGAAGGAGCGACAATCTCCTACCGACCCACGCCAACGATAGCTTATTGCTATGTGGTCTATTTGTGTCCAGCGTTGGTTTGATGAAGGGGGTCTCCAAGTCAAACAGTGTCTCTCCTTGTGTTTAAAGTTAGTGCTTACAAGAAACAAATGATTATCAGAGCAGAACTGTAGGAGACGGTCACCGTTGTCGGTTCGCTGGCACGGAGCTCCATAGGTGCCACCGACATCCTTCTCAGATTGACACAATTTCCCTACTTGAGCGTTAAAGTCACCAGCTAGAACGACTATGTCTGAGCGTTTAGCCTTTCCACCAAACTAGACAGCTTTTGGTAGAACTCATCCTTCGTTTCATCTGAACTGCAGTCAGTGGGGGCGTAGGCGGAGATTACGAAAAGGCATCGGCGAGTAGTGCAGTCCTTCCTCCTTCTTACTGATCCGTTCAGGCGGACAGCACACATTCGGCTATCTACCGGGATCCAGTCAAGCAATGTCTTTTCTGCCCTAGTACTCAAAGCTATCCCTACGCCAGCTAATCCTCGTGAACTAGCTGTGGCATCTCCTGACACCCTCAAGGTGAATTTTGCAGATTCAACCTGTTGGCCAGGTGGGGTTAGGTGAATAACCACACTTGGGTCTTGTATGCGTGTTTCTGAAACACAGCATACATCAATGGCTCGTGATGCCAGGGTCTTGGCTAGTGATGCTTGTTGTCCTATTTGGCAAAGTGTCCTAACATTAAGAGCTCCTATATGAAATTGGTGGCGCGGCTTTAAGAGGCTGTCGGTGGTGGTTTTTTGGCTTCCATCGTTTTTAGTGGACGCAGAGTGGAGAGGAAGTGGAGAGCTATCAAGTCGAGGAGTTGCATCAGTGGAAGGAAGGCAAGATGATAGAGATGAAGATGAAGACAAAGATGAGTGAGTAATAGAGAGGTTTCGTGTGCATTTCGGATTGTGAGGGCGATTGTTACTTCCCGGCTGCCCACACCGTGGAAGTTGGTTGCGTGACCGCAGAGCCCAGGGGACAACTGCTTGAGGCCGGTCACACGCGGCCTGTTTTTGTTCGTTCTTTTTGTTTGGTGTGTCTCAGTAGCAGATTTATCACTCCCCCCTGTGACACGGCAGCAGGAAGCGCGGTCGTTGTTAATCCGGGCCACGGCCGATCCGGCATGAAATTTTGTAATTTTGTATTGGACATGATGTTGGATTGGGTAGCTGCTTTTTGTTTAACCGCTATCCAAACAACCTGCCTGGCATGGTAGTACCTCAAGAGACATAAGTCTCAGCCAGTATAGCTTGAATAGATCATTGCGGTGTTCAAGCCCGACCACCACGTCAAGGTAGCAGCTTTCGGTCGGGAAGAGCAAGTAGCATGGCTGAAGCATACAAGACAGTCGAAACTGAAAGATATTTACCGTCTCTGGTGTGATTCATGACGGGATAGTGGCATGAGTGCCTATATATACTTTGTGTTCATTTGGCTTCTAATGTGTGTTTATTTATTTATTTGTCCCATATTTACTTGTCTCACCTCATGGTGTTCTATCACTTCTGATCGCAGATTAGTTACTTCATCTTGTTTTTGGATTGCACATATGTGAGGTGAAGTGTGTCTAATATCCTGAATTGAAGCTAGCTGATGTATGCATATTTATACACGTGGCAACAAGCTCAACCTATTGTGGGATTTAACAGCGGAGAACAATCCAACAGTTAAAAATCTGGAGCTAATACTCATTAGCCACAACTTTGTTATATCAGGCACAACCGTAGTTTACAGTATACGGGGAGGACAATTTAAAAAAATTACATCCAAAATATAAAATCACTTACTAACTCAGTTTCGAGCGAACCTGTCCCTATATATAAAGTTGACAAAATGATCCGTTTATTCGCGCTACCAATATGATCCTATTGAGAGAGAAATAAAGAAACAGATGAGGACAAAAATAACAGAAAGCAGTGAAGGCAAACCAAAAGTGTGTTGTTCAACGGTTCACATCACCTATTGCATAACCATCAAAATATTAGGAACTGGTGAACAATGAATAAAGGCGGTAGTCGAAAACTGCTGAAAGGTGAGCAGACCTTACATACTGTGCAAAGAAGACTTTGTGTTACATCAATACCTGGCCATAAAAGAGACTCTGTGGTTAGAATATTAAAACTAGGTGGAACAGCATAGTAATACTGCTTATCAAAACTACTAATTGAAACCTAACTACTAATTTCGTCCCTCAATGAATATACTCGATTAGACATTGCGTTACAGAAATATAGTTTTCACTCTCCACTGACTGCTACGGAAAACCTGGAAGCTATGCGTAAGAGCGTACATGACGCTGAGGCAACACCATCAAGAGGTTAAGTTAAAAAGTGACATTTCCTTCTTTCCTACTTAAGATTCAGTCATCATCAAATATCAAAGCTGCACATTTGCTTCCACTTCTTAATGGTATAAAGATAAGCGTACTACTAAGCAGTTCCAAACTTGAACCTAATAACTGGTAACCAGCACCCATTTTTTAATTCATTTATGATGCTCTCCTGCTTTTGAACTTATTTCGATAAAATGTATTTGTACGCTTTCCTAAAAACTAGCACATATTATGCAGAAACATTGCAACAATCATTGAGTTTCCCATTTTTATGTATCAAGGTTGAGTGGTGTGATCTAGTAAAAAGAATTAGGGGCAGTTTAAGAATAGAAAATTGAGACCGTAAGGTGTTACCTACACAGTTGATGAAGATCTCCAGAAAGGTAGAACTTCTTCAAACTGAGAAAGCTAGGACGATACATATTCTGCACGCTGAACTCTACATATGAAAATGTTTGATGAGTTATCAAACTTGTAAAACATTGCATATTTGATAGCTTATCTGCTGTCATAATTGCATTCTTATCACTTATCTTTCTATCACACAATCTTAATTTTGCATTGTTCAACTTCATTCGCATGGTCTAACTTAGTTCCCTAATAGTCGAGACATGACCCACTGAATTAGGTACTCGACTTACAGCTGATGGCCTTCATGGAAAAATTAATATAGCTTTGGCTTTAACAAATCTTTATCGGCGAGGTTAGATGTAATAACACTGGATTGATGAAATGATACGTATGCAATGAAAATCCAATCGGCAGCTCGGTAGGTAGGGAAACAGAGTATATTGGTTTGAATCCTGTCACAATTCAGACTTTCGTCTCACATTCAGCTATCATTAATCTTAAACAAAGTGATTTCTTTTGAGCGTCAATAGAAGCCAAATTTCTGTAAACTTATATTTGAAGATAATATTTAATACATATCAGATTGGACAGCTGGAGAACGAGTAGTTGGGAAAGATTGCCTTTTGCTGAATACATTTTATAAAAATAATGGGGATGTTTTAATTACTTCTATGTATGTTTTTTATGCTCAAACTTCATTCTTATCAGTCGGTTTATATGGACTACTTAAGCCTAAGTTTATATTGACATTATTTTTACGATAATAGCATTTTCTCTATGAACTGTATAAACCGAAAGAGGTCGATCAACTCGGTATTTACAGAGATAGAAAATAATATTAACAGATACCTTTGCAGCAACACTGGAATTCCACTGAAAATATTATCGCTAAATGAAATGCAGGTATACCTACATAACAAAACGCTCATCACAGCTACCCCCACTAATTTTCCTTAAGAGAATATGCCCACTCACTACTGAACTAACATTCCACTGAATGGAATATCACCAATGTCAGTAGAAGAAAAGCGTTATGGATTTAATTATTTGCACAGTGCCATAATTCCACTTCACTATTGTCTAATGTAGCAGTATGCATAGAAATAACAGAGTTTGGATACCTCGTTCTACGAATAGGTTTGCATCGACAAGATGAATAAGTACTCTAGAAATTCACATGTTTATCCTATGCAAGACACAGTATGTTATAGAGCCATTATCATTTTTCGCTCGTTATAATGTCTTCACAAGTGATTCATGACACGCAGTACAACCGATTCAGTATTAAAAACACAACGCCTTCTAACTCGTTCTTCCCATTAGGCACGTGTTTACACAATTGTTAAACAACAAAATGGTCAGAAGACTTCGTGCAATGTAATCAGATAATTTAGATTTCATAAACAAATGTGAAGGCTTTAATTCAACAGTGTCAACACAGAAATATAGAAACTATAAGTGGAACGACTGAGCTGGTTTCACTTAGATATCATTTTGACTAAAGTTACTACTGAAACTTCGATGTAATTGCAAAGATGGTCAACTTAGCAAATTAAAATGGCATGATAAGTTGAAACAGAAGATAATTACTGGCGTAAACCAACTACAGTGAACTAAAGATACGGAATTCAACAGACAAAATATAATCAGTCCAAAACTAGCCAATCCTCACCTTCCTATAAATCATATGCACCTCATTATCCCATATTTACATGTTTTATTTGCCCATATCTTAACTTTTAGCTTCCCATTATGACTTATTTAATTACTAATTCAATTGCCATTTCACAACCTGACAATAAGTTATTCTCAACTGTCTGTACGCGAAGGAAACAATATACTGAGTAAAATTAACAACTAGAGTAAATCATCTAAGAGACACTTCCCCTTAACCCTTCTATAAGCTTTGGCGAAGTTAAATAATATAAAGGAAGCTAATGTCACACACTTGACTTTGCAATTGACTAGAGACACGTATGCGATCTACCAAATGCTACATGAATTCATTCCAAGGGAGCAGATAGTGAATTTTTCCATGATTATCGACCCAAAAGGTTATAAGTTCACCTATTTCTGTCTATCTGTATTCGACATAGAACTTTGCACCGATGTACACCAGTTCAAGTCTCCACACTCCCTCCTTGTAGCACACAAAGCAAGAGAAGAAAGTAGAAGAAATGCATAATAGTGACAGTAAACAGAGGTGTGAGACAAAGGAATGGTAATAACGAGGAACAATATAGTTTCATTTGAAATCATAAGTCACAAGGAGTGGATGCATCTGCGCTAGCCATTGAGAACGATGAGTTTGAGCCATATCAGCAAATTTTTTTTCCAGCCATTGGTTTTTACCGTTCCGAAGAACCCAACTAGTCAGGAAGTCTACACCTTCCTACGTGGCTGGCTTAAAAACTAACTGTTGTGGATTCCATTGACTGGTGCGATGTTTTGGTTTGACCACCACCGCCACTAGCTCTTTTCCAGTCTGACCCTATATCGGCTAACACTGCCCGTCGAGGAAGGCGATCTATAGTTAGGCATGCGTAACAAACACATGTCCTAACCATCTCAGTCGATATAGCTTCACAGCCTCGTCGATTGATTTCCCTTCCTTACCTAGCACTCGACTGATGCCTAACCTCGATATTGCTCACCTCATTTATACCACTTCACACGCGAGATAGAGCGCAGGCACCTATGATTAAGGACAGCTAATCTTTTCATGTCTTCCACTCTCAATGGTCAGGTCTCACAGCCGTAGAGGAGGACGGAGCGGACTGATGAGCAGTACACCCGCCCTTTGGTCGATAGCCGGATATCACGTCTACGCCAGAGATGGCGTAAAGTGGAATATGCGAAATGAGTCTTCTGTATCCGTCCTGAGATTTCGTCAGAGATCAACCCGTTGAATTATATGTTGTTCTTACCTGATACTCCTAGAAGCTGTATACGCTGTCATGTGAAAATTATTGATGCTTCCTACAAGTTATGTTCACAAGCGGTATGATTACACACAAATTCAGTCAGCAAGCCAAGTCCAGCAAGTGGTTGTGAGTTTGTTGGTGATATGTCTAGCCGACTGCGCCAAAGACTCACACGCTCTATTAATGTGAGAACACTGGATGACATCTATGCTTACCGTCGTAACAAAGAATTCAAGTGTCTAGAACGCCTATTCAAATCTGAGTGCAATAAACAACATACTTCTTTGCCAGCTTCGCCAAAATCTTCTTTAACTGATTTAACAAATATCCTGCTCTGTAATTCTCGCATTGCATTGAGAAATTATGCTACGCAAAAAAGTTATTCCTTTTAGTCGTCATGAGGCAGTTAAGACAAAAATTCATTTGCGTCTAGTATGTTTTCCAAGAAGTATATTCAACCGGAATTAAATTTAGTTGCTGAACTTATATCAAAGAGTGATCATAAATCGTTAAGTCACAGAAATTCAGCTGTTACGAATGAAAGAATATGGGGGTTTCATTCAAGCACAATATTGAATTCACAGTCCAATATCAACGTGGATGAAATGTAGTGCGAATTGAGATGACTTTAATGCCAACCGATGACAGAGAGGAAGAAAACGGAGACTCAAAGATGAATATACGTCTGTAATTCATTGTAACGTTTGCAGAAATACGACAGGTACGTCTGCACTAGACAGTATTTCCTATTGTTAGACAATGAAACTTGATGTTTGAATTTCAAGAGAGCATACATTCCGACCAAGCTAGTTTATGTTTTATATTCTACATTTACCGAATGTGATTCTTACAGATCTGGAAACATGTGAACACAAAAGTCTTGTATGACATCGTCAACATTGTAGTGCTTCTTCCCCAAATTGCTTCTAACCAAAAGGCTCAAGAAATGCACGATTGTTATCGAAATGCGTCTAGCATTACGAAATCTTCAGCTTTGACTGATGAAAATAGTAACTATCGCGATTACTCTCGCAATGACAATATGGTGTTAGAAAGCTATCATTCTAGTTGCTCTCATATTTAACCAAATAGAAGAGAAGGATAGACATTTCAAGTAGGCAGTCATAGAGCAAGTAGTCATTTATAGTGCAACCTTTAAATGACACAAATTCCTTCAAAGATTCATACAACTTTTAAAAAACGCATATAATAGCCACGTGAACTAGTTAAAAATTTTGCTAGCTTTTGAATAATTAGTGAATCGATCTGGAACTTTGCACAAAAGTGCACTCGTTAAAGCTGCTACATATCAGAAAAGCACACAAAATAGAAGAATAAAAATGTAGTGACATTATAACAGATAAGTCGAAAGTGAAACTGTATAAAAGCCGGAAGATAACAGGAAGTTGCTAAATGCCAAACATGTTTTATGTTTCTGTTATGACATCACGTCAATCCATCGGGACTGTGCAACTCCTCAAATAAAAGCAGTGGTCATCACACCTAACTAATAAATATGCTGGTATTAAAACAAGACTCAAGGCAGACTAGCCTTGTAGAATCATGAAATATGAGCCCAGATTTTTGCCTGCATTTTTCGGACGACTGTATATTGCCAACATCTTTACCAAAAAAGTGTATCATCTGAGTAGTTTGAGCAAACAAGACTTTTGCTTTTCCATCTTATAAACTGGAACCCATAAGTACTGTTGCTGTCTCATTCAAAACGCTTTTTGAAACTTTGGTTAAAGTTGTACAAAAGCAGATCTTGTTATGAAATATAAGAGATAATGTATCTTATGTCCTTCAGAAAAAGTTCACTCAACATGAAAGAATGAAAAACAATGTTGACATGAAGAAACTCCAAGATATTTCAAGTATGACCACGGTCAAATCATCTGAAAGATAGAGGATCAAACAAAATACAGCCTTGGTTTATTTTTGATTGGATACTAGTCAGGCAATCGGCAGGAAGCCTTGGACCTAGGTTTCGTGCTAGTTGGCACTCATCAGCAATGCGTATTTGCAACTAAAGATAGGACTAGACTCATTAGACTAGATTACTGACTAGTGTACAATCGAAAATATCCAGTACAGTCCTACAGGAGGCCAATCACCAACCCAAATAGCTTAATGGTACCGTTTCTGACTGCAGCACTGGGTGATGCGGGTTCGAATCCCAGAAGGAACATGAGTTCCTTCAAGGTTGCAGATAAACCTTGCTTACTTGTGAGTGCCTACTAGTACGAAACCCAGGTCCAAGGCTACTTGCCGGTTACCTACAACCATCGAATACTTCGTTTAAACCAACGCTGAAATTCTTTAAAAGCAAAAAGACACAAATTAATTAAGTACACATGTGCTACAAATACATCCACAAAAGAATAAGTGCGAACTGCACTTTGAATAAACGAGAAGTTCAATAATGTGAAGTGATACTAAAGTACATACCAGTAAACCATGAAAAAACTCTTGTGGAGTCGTCAGAACTTTGATTTGTTCAGAGTTAACGTGGTATACTGGAAGCTTCAAGTTCCAAATGAATTGTAATATTGTGGAGCACTATGGTGAATAAAATGCGAAAGCTTAAGTAGCATAATTAATTAAACCTGAGAAGGTGAAGGCATGTGGGGAATATTCCAATTTATTTGTACAAACAAGTGAGTTTAAACAATGTACAGTGAAAAGAAAGTCTCAAGTTTGCATAGAGGGCCTGACACGTTTAGCAGTTAATAATGTTCTCTCATCAGCAAAACCAAGGGACCCCCTTTGCAGTTCGATGAAGTCATCCGTCTTCATTTTTTTCCCACTAATCGGGTCAATCATCTCTTTTTTTATCACAGTATCCACGACTTCTTTAGTGACAACCGCACCAGAAGTCTTAAGAACAACACAAACAGTTGCGTTTGTAAGTGGATCTTTGGAAACTGCACAACAATATTTAACTTCGCGGTTCGTTGGTTTAGCCTGACTAAACCCCATGACTTCAGAATCATCTTCAAAGTTGGTGAACTTTACACCGACTAGATCTTTATACTTCAGTGGTTTGCCGCTCATCGGACAGCGTACAATTTTGTCAGGTTCACTCATAAGTTCCTTGTCAAACTTCTGATCTGATGTGCTAGCGGGAGCCCAAAAGCAGGAGCTCTTTTCAACCACGCCACTGCGTTTATGGGATAGGGAGGCCAGAGCCTCTGCTTCAGCTGCTTGTGCAGACGCTTGTGAATGAGTGTCTAAAGTATTCAGTGATAAAAAGCGTCGGGCTACTTCTTCTTTTTCGGCCTTGATAAACAATTTAGCCTCAGCATCTAGACGAGCTTTCTGTTTTTCATAAAGTTTAATTTTTCGTTGGATCTCAGCTTTCTGACTAACAATATATTCCAAGATAACTGCTCGGTCATAAAGGAATCCATCAGTTGTAACCACAGGATCTTTTGCTGGCTGCAAAGAAAGACAGCAACAATCAAGAGCTTTCACTGAATCCTTTCCCAAACGGATTTCCTGTGTACCAAAGCCTGATCTGCGAGCATCATTTTTCCTCTCGTAATATGTATAAACAGTATGAGCAGTACAGTTTTTAGAGTGGCGCGTCATATATTATCTGAAAAGGTGAAAACAGATGAGTCACTCTTGAGTATATATTTAGCTAAGTACTGCAAAGAATACAAACTTCAAGTATTAGGCATCTACAATCAATTCGTCAAATAGGTCGAGTGAATTCCAATATGGGTAAAATTTATTTTGATAAAGTCTCACAGTGTTATGCAGTAATATTTACTGATATGCGGTAAATAAATAAATAATAGAATTATACTCAACTACAGTGCACAAGTTTTATTCTGATAGGTTGAGTGCAATTAAATGTACGATACAGGTGGCAACTATCTTGTGAAGACCACTACAGTAACCCGGTAAGCTAAACGCTTCAGTGTTGAGCATCCGACATTATTAAATACAATCCTAACTTTAGGTTGATGCACAGAGAAAACTGTCATTAAAATACAGAATAAGACAAGGACGAAAACAAGAAATCTATACAAAAGATGCAAAACAGTAACACTATCCAAAAGAAATTACCTACTAATAACCGGATAATAATAATATTCTGGGAAGTGCCACTGAGCACTGTCTGAAGTACTGCTTTCAAAGTAGAACTTTGCACAGATGCGCAGCAGTTCGACTTACCACACTCCATATTAACTGTTATCAGTTAATATTACTGTATAACGCTGTGATTTATCAAAATAAAATCTTACCTATAATGGAGTTATGCTCTACCACAGTGCCCAAGTTTTATACTTATTTCCATATGTGGCAGGCTCAAACTAACTGTTGTGGATTTCATTGACTGATGAGGCCATGTTTTGGTTTGACCACCACCGCCACTAGCTCTTTTCCAACCCGACTCTATGTCAGCTAACATTGCCCGTCTAGGAAGGTGGTCGATGGCTAGCCATGCATAACACATGTCCTAACCACCTCAATCGGTGTAACTTCATCGATTGGCCTAACCTCCTTACCTAACACTGTGCCTTACGTCAATATTGCTCACCTTATTATGTTGCTTAACATGGGAAATAGAATTCAGGCACCTATGATCAAAGACAGCTAGCCAGGCTTTTCATGTCTTCCACTCTCAATGGCCATATCTCACAGACACGAAAGGAAGTGTTGAGCTGCACACACGTCCTTTGGTTGACAGCCGGCCGGATATCCCGCCTACGCCAGAGACGGCGTAAAGTGGAATATGCGAAACGAGTCTTCTGTATCCGTCCTGAGATGTCGTCAGCGATTAACTCGCTGACACTGGTTGATGCAACTGCCCAAATAAGTGAAGCTGTCAACGCGCTCTACTACTTCACTCCCTATTTCAATGTAGCCCAGCTATGCTGTCTCTTTACTCTGGAGAGAAAAGGTCGACCTCAGAGATTGTACATGCCAACTTACCCCACAATGGTCTGTAACCGGAGGTAAGTTTACTTATACGGAACCAATCCAGAAACCAGTTCATACAGACGGTTACCGACCTCAACCAGCTGTCCCGTGAGCTATGCGGTCACACAACGTTAACCCTCTTTCTAATTCAGATACCTGAAGATTCAATCAACTTCCACGGTGTTGGAAGCGAGGAAGCCTTCCTGAGCATCATTCCCCTTTACTAACATCACCACTATCTCCCCCCCTACTACAGTTAGTACTATTCTTCAGGTTATTGCGGCACCGTCACGTCACTCTGTAACCAAAAGCGACGATGGAAGCCATAGAAACACCCCAGATAGCCTTTTAAAGCCACGTCACCAACTTCATATAGGAGCATTTAACGTCAGGACCCTCTACCAAATCGGACAACAGGCATCACTACCAAGAACTCTGGAATCTCGAGCCATGGATGTATGTTGTGTTTCGGAGACACGCATACAAGACCCGAGACTGGTCATTCATTTAACCTCACCCGGTCAACAAAGTGAGTCTGCAAAATTCACTTTAAGGGAGTCAGGAGACCCCTCAGCTAGCTCGCGAGGACTCGCAGGTGTAGGGATAGCACTGAGTGTTAAGGCGGAAAAAGCACTTCTTGACTGGATCCCAGTAGATAGTCGTATATGAGCGGTCCGTCTGAATGGGTCCGTTTAAAGAAGGAAAGACGGCGCTACCCGTCGTTGCCTTTTCGTAGTCTCCGCTTACGCCCCAACAGACTGCAGTTCGGATGAACTAAGGGATGGCTTCTACCTGAAACTGTCTAATTGGCTGCAAAAAGCAAAAGGTTCAGATATAGTTGTTTTAGCGGACGAATTCAATGACCAAGGAGGGAAGTTGTGCCAGACTGAGAAGTATTCAGGTGGTTGTATGGAGTTCCCTGCCGGCGAACCGACAACGGTGATCGTCTTCTACAGTTTTGCTCAGATAATCATCTGTTCGTAGTCAGCACTAACTTTAGGCACAAAGAGAGACATTGTGTAGCCTTGCGACCTCCATCACCAAATCAACGCTGGACTCAGACAGACCACATAGCCATAGGGTATCGTTGGCGAGGGTCAGTAGAAGACTGTCTCTACTTCTAGAATACGTGCGTAGACTGATCACGCTCCGGTTAGCGCACGTTTATGCTTACGACTAAGTAGACATAAGAAATTGACGACAGTGAAACAGTTACGTCCCCAACTAAATCGAGACAGAGTCCCTATTTAAGGATGACACAGCGAAACGAGTGTCTGAGGTCGAGAGCAGGACTTCCCCTTAAGTACCCTGGCACAACATACAGTTAGCTGTTGACACAGCTGTAAAATTTATTAAGAACCTGAAACAAAAGTTAGTAAGAGCCATTAGATTTCTACCATCTCATCCAAACTGATTAACGCAAGAAGACTTATTCCGGCAAGCTTCGATTATGATGAGGAGTGAAAGCTACTCAAACGCAAAATAACAAGAAGTCTTCGCAACGACCGTGAACAGTCGTGGGCAACAAGAGCTAAAGAGATGGAAAAGCCATCGGCGATTGCTAACACCAGACAACTACTTAGGCTTATCAGGGAAACAGAAGATATTAGGCAAACGATAAGTGAAACAATCTCTGGGAAAAATGGCACGATAATTAGCTTCCAGGATAGACAATTAAGATGTTGGAAAGAACACTTTGAGAAGCAGTTTAATTGGCCTACAGCCACGCTCAACATTCCGAACATCCAACACCTCCCTGAATGTGATATAAACACAGGTCCTCCGTATCTAACTGAGATTACTAAAGCTGTCACTAATCTGAAACAAGGCAAAGCAGCAGGACCTGATGGAATCACTCCAGAGGTATTTAAGTACGGTGGAGACAGTTTACTGTCTGCATTAACTGAGGTACTAGGCAGAGTCGAGGAATCAGAGGAAGTCCCGTCGGGTTGCTGTAAATCACTGATTATCCACATACACAAGAGGGGAGACAAGTCTTCCTGTGATAATCACAGAGGGATTAGCTTAACTAATATAGTATCTAAAGTCCTAGGCTCAATAATCATGCGTAGACTGAGTGGTGCTCGGGAGACACAAACACGAGAGAACCAGGCAGGCTTTAGATCAGGAACAGGGTATATTGATCGTATCTTCACCATTCCGCAGATTATAGAACGTAGGCATTCTAACCGGCCTCCAACAATAATTATATTCCTTGACCTAAAGACGGAATACGATTCTGTCGACCAAGAAGTACTCTGGCGGTGCTTGGCTGTTAAGGGAATGACGAGAAAATAAATTGCACTGATCAAGCCACTCACTCTACTCGAACTCTTCCAGCCAGGTGAGGGCTTACGGCAAGCTGTCATCTGAAGTGGTGACGGCTACTGGTGTCTATCAGGGATGCCCATTATCCCCATTTCTATTCAATTTCATCACAGATATACCAATGGACTTAACCCTAACTCACATCAGAGACTCAGTAATTGACTTGTTACCGGAGGGTAATCTGGTCGATTTACAATATGAAGATGACATAGTCCTTCTAGGTGGAGATCTCTGACGAAATCTCAGCACGAATACAGGGGGGCTCGTTTCGCATTTGTTAGTTTACGCCGACTCTGGCGTAGACGAGATGTTAGACTATCGACCAAAGCGCGGGTGTACTCCTCACCAGTCCGCTCCGTCCTCCTTTACGGTTGTGAGACCTGTCCACTGAGAGAGGAAGACATGAAAAGACTAGCTGTCTTCGATCATAGGTGCCTGCGCTCTATTTCCCGTGTTAAGTGGTATAATAAGATGAGCAACATGGAGGTTAGGCGTAGAGTTCTTGGTAAAAAGGGGAAATCAATCGACGAAGTCGTGAAGCTACAAAGACTGAGATGGTTAGGACATGTGTTACGTATGCCAAGTCATCGCCTCCCTCGACGAGCAATGTTAGAGGATATAGGGTCAGGCTGGAAAAAAGCTAGCGGCGGTCAAACAAAATCTTGGCACCAGTCAATGAAATCCACGACAGTTGGTCTAAGCCACGTAGGACGGTGTAGACTTCCAGGCTGGGGTCCTCGGGACGGTAAAAATCTATGGTTGGAAACAATTGGTCACATGGCTCAAAATCGTTCTCAGTGGCGCAGATGCATCCACTCCTTGTGACTTATGATCTCCAATGAAACTGTTTTGTTTTTCTTTATTACTCCTTTGTCTCACACCTCTGCTCACTGTTTCTATTATGCTTTTCTTGTACTTTCTTCTCTTGCTTCGCGTGCTACACGGTGTGGCGACTTGAACTTCCGCACATTTGTGCAAAGTTCTATGTCGAATACAGACAGTTAGTCTAGGTGGAGACGCTGAGAAAATGCAGAGTTTTCTGAACAACTTGAGTGGCAGTCTACGAATGTTCGGCATGCGATTCGCTCCCGCTAAATGCAAGATGATGTTACACAACTGGACTACACTGACTGTCATTTTAGAGAGGTTTCGTGTGCACTTCGGATTGTGAGGGCGATTGTTACTTTCTGGCTGCCCACACCGTGGAAGTTGGTTGCGTGACCGCAGAGCACAGGATATAACTGCTTGAGGCCGGTCACGTGCGGCCTGTTTTTGTTTGTTCTTTATTGTTCGGTGTGTCTCAGCAGCATATTTATCACTCCTCCCCTGTGACACGGCAGCAGGAAGCGCGGTTGTTGTTAATTCGGGCCCCGGCCGATCCGACATGATATTTTGTGAGATTCTATGTATCATAGTGTTGGATTGGGTAGCTGCTTTTTGTCTAACCGCTATCCAAACAACCTTTCTGGCATGGTAGGACCTCAAGAGACATAAGTCTCAACCAGGATAGCTTGATTAGGCCATTGCGGTGTTCAAGCCCGACCACCACGTCAAGGTAGCAGCTTCCGGTCGAGACTACACTGACTCCTAGTTTAGAAATAGGGAGTTAAGTAGTAGAGCATGTTGACTACTTCACTTATTTGGAAAGTACTCTCAGCCCCAACGGGTTGATCTCTGACGAAATCTCAGGACGGATACAGAAGACTCATTTCGCATATTCCACTTTACGCCATCTCTGGCGTAGACGTGATATCCGGCTATCGACCAAAGGGCGGGTGTACTGCTCATCAGTCCGCTCCGTCCTCCTCTACGGCTGTGAGACCTGACCATTGAGAGTGGAAGACATGAAAAGATTAGCTGTCCTTAATCATAGGTGCCTGCGCTCTATCTCGCGTGTGAAGTGGTATAAATGAGGTGAGCAATATCGAGGTTAGGCATCAGTCGAGTGCTAGGTAAGGAAGGGAAATCAATCGACGAGGCTGTGAAGCTATATCGACTGAGATGGTTAGGACATGTGTTTGTTACGCATGCCTAACTATAGATCGCCTTCCTCGACGGGCAGTGTTAGCCGATATAGGGTCAGACTGGAAAAGAGCTAGTGGCGGTGGTGGTCAAACCAAAACATCGCACCAGTCAATGGAATCCACAACAGTTAGTTTTTAAGCCAGCCACGTAGGAAGGTGTAGACTTCCTGACTAGTTGGGTTCTTCGGAACGGTAAAAACCAATGGCTGGAAAAAAAATTTGCTGATATGGCTCAAACTCATCGTTCTCAATGGCTAGCGCAGATGCATCCACTCCTTGTGACTTATGATTTCAAATGAAACTATATTGTTCCTCGTTATTACCATTCCTTTGTCTCACACCTCTGTTTACTGTCACTATTATGCATTTCTTCTACTTTCTTCTCTTGCTTTGTGTGCTACAAGGAGGGAGTGTGGAGACTTGAACTGGTGTACATCGGTGCAAAGTTCTATGTCGAAAACACAGGCAGACAGACTTCACCCAAAGCAATCACTACTGTAAAAACACGACGATTTCTATTTTCAGTAATCGATCAACCACCTAGTAATTTTTAGCAATTTATGTCAAGGAGCTAGGACTTCTATGACATTAAATAGAGGTAACATGAATTCATTGCAATAACTGACATATGGTCTGTTCATCGATGATTAAATTCCATTGCATACACCGAAATGTCAGCCTCTCCTTAGTAAACTGTTTCTTACGATAATAATGGCGTCTTCGTTACAAACTTGCACCGTTAATTTGAAGTTTCATCACATCATCGTGAGCAATATCTAAAACCTAGAAGATATGTCACACGTCCATTCAATTAAAAAAAACTATTCGTGTTAGGAAAGCAACTTATATGTTTAAGCATTTCGGGAAAGTGCCACAATACATGTAAAGTGGTAGCAACGTGTATGTGCCAAATGTATTACCAAAAACAAAAGCTTATGATTGTGTAAACTATTGAAATGCAACTATAACTTATTAATGATAGATATCAGATTCACCATGGAGGCTTTGAAGGCAGTCGGCTTAGATGTGAATAGTTTATGATCAGTTGTAACGCACGGATTTCGGGGAACAGTAATATGAGATTACATACCGTCACAATCACTAGATTTTGCGTATATGAACGTCGATATATACGGCCTATAGATCGTCTATTAATGACTAATACGGAATTAAGTGTCTACGAAGAAAGCTAGAATTAGATTTAACAAGAACACTGAATCATTTTGAAATGCACAAAATGTGCTAAAACGTCAGATTCTAACATACCAGCAACGACAATCAAACTTGACATACTGGGATTGCCAAGTGACTTGAGACGCCCGCTATCGGCAGGGCGCAAAATTCAAAATAAACTAAAACAAATAATATTTTGTAATACATATGATTTTCGTAAAAATTAGTAAAAATAAATAATTGGAAAATGACTTTCATTACGTTTTAAGACATACAAATACTGGGTACCGGGTTAATGATGAAGTCCATATTACTCTGTGCATCCGGTTTTGAACTTCGTTACGAAGTCAACTCAATTCACCAAATATCACCTTGTTGTCTTCGAAATCGGTCGTATACCGGTCAGCTAGGCTGGCTGCTTTCAGACAAACGTCGTTCACCACATAATGACGGAATCACAGCAAGGTATTTTTATTAACATATACTGGATATGTTTGAAGATACTTTGGAGCAAAAATATGAGGTGTTAAAAACTGTATGCCGGCAACAGGTTATGGTAAGTCCATCCAATCTTAGTTTTCGACTATGCTTGAAGTTTAATGAAACACTTAAATTGGAAGTTGCTAAGTTAAACAATGCAGTAGATGAACTAATCAGAGAAAAGAAGTTAGTCTTTTTTTAATTCATTCATCTGTAATGCAGTTTACTACTAGATGAGTTAGTCAAACACCATTTGTCATGCCACAATTTCCTCAAGAGTGAGTTAAAAGAAACACAGGAGTATGTTTTCCTTGCCTGTTAACACTTGCCTTAGTAATTCAGTTTGTAGTGGAAACAAACGTGCAATGAGCCCGTCTGAAAACAACTATCATGATACAAAAAAGGTCAGAAGTTCCCACTCAGCCATTGGTAAGTTCTTTTAAAGCATCAAAGTTTGGTACTTAATGATTGCAACTATGTTCATATGCTTATTATGTTATGTTCTTCCACAACTACCTTGTCCTATCTGTTACTCTGATGAGCATCCTCTCAGATTCCTAAGTGTTTCTTTATTGTTATTTAGTAGTGTATCAGTGAACTCAAATATGCATCAGTCCCATAAAATTATCCCCGTTCTTTTGATTATGCAGTAATTCCATCTACCACATACCGGTTTCATCCCTACTCCACTTATTTTGACTTAGACAATTGCAAGTATGATCGCCCTTCACGACCTAACCTCAGATAACTAAGACAGTAGCTACATGCTGACTTTTTATTTTGAGAGTAATGGAATATTTTATTTACCGTAGTCCCCTATATCCATGTTTTTCCATCTTACAGTTCTTTCTGCCTCACATCTCTGCTTATTATGGTTCTTTTGCATTTTTGTCCCTACCATTTTGTTCTACATAGAGTGTGATAAATTAAACTTTCATTTCTGTGTAAAGATTTTGGTTAAAATTCAGTCAGCTTTCAGTTACCCTAAGGTCAAGACTGTTTGTGGAGAAGTACTGTCGATCTGCCCACTCACTAATTCCCTACCTTACATTAGGTATGCTTGTGGCGCATAGATAATAGGTATCTTTCCTTAAAATGACACATCAGTCTGCAGCATTTGCCTAACTATCTGTGGATAAAAGGTAAAAATGTCCCAGTCATGAAATACAAGTTCATCGGTTGGGTTCTCCCATGACTGCAAATCCCTCGCAAGTACTAATCCTCATTCCCTAAAACTTGCTGAGACTACTTTGCAGCTCTAGAAGTACTGTGAAGATGACTATGATAACAGTTACTTACATTCTGTTTAAGGTAGGAATTTCCCCATTAACTGTGTTCTCAGTTTAATGACTGACGGATGAACAGTTTATTCAAGCATTTATATGTCCCTCATATTTTTGGTAGAATATCCAAAACCGTAATGTTCTGTTGCCTTACGATGCAATATAACCCCTAAAGACCAAACTGATGTGTAATTTGCAACTACTTCATCACATTTAAGCCAAAAAGGAATACTAGTTTGCTAATTACCATGTCACATGCGAACCAACTACTCTCTCTGCCCACGCACTTGTTTATTTTAATATCCTTCCTTTGCCTCCTGGATGTTTTTGATGTGTAGTGACGTTAATTCATTCCTGAGACATTTCCTTTTCTATCCATCTGTAGTTAACACTACCAATGAGTACCTTAGGGCTGTGGTGGTGCATAGAGAACTTACTGTAATCCCAAATATATGGCACGTACATAGCACCAACCTTCTATCATTAGACTACTCTTTGTTAGATGATCAAAAACGGAGATTTCCTTTTTAACTTCTCCCATTCTCGTGTCCCATGTATCGCTTATAATCGCCAGGCAGATCGGATTCATTAAAACCCAAAGTACCCTGGCTCCATGTATCATTATACTAAATGGTACGTTTTCTGTAGTACAGAGGCACTTCTAAACCTATCCCGTCGCTGGTGCACATTCGACAACCAGCTACTGATCAAAAGGCATGCGTACTAAACACTAGTCCGTTTTGTTCTCCTCTATGGCTGCCAGACATGATCACTGAAAGTGGGAGATATGAAAGGGCCAGTCGTCTCTGACAACCACAGATGTTTGCGTTCTATCACTCGTGTTAAGTGGTATAATATGGTGAGTAATATTTAGATTAGATGCAGTGCTAGGTAAGGAGAGTAGGCCAATTGATGAAGTTGTGAAGCTATATGGATTAAAATAACCAGGACACGTGTTGCCCCATGGCGAGCCACCGTCTTCCTTGCAAGCAATGTTAATCGACATAGAGTTGGATTGGAAGAGAGTTAGAGGAGGTCAAGCCAAAACCCGCTGTCTGTTCATAAAGTCTTTGACTCCATTATAGATAAGATTTTATTTTGATAAATCGCACAGTGTTTACAGTAATGTTTGCAGTAAACATTACTGTAAACACTGTGCGATTTATCAAAATAAAATCTTATCTATAATGGAATTATACTCTACCACAGTGCCCAAGTTTTATACTTATATCAAAGTCTTTGACTGTTGGTTTGAGCCACGTATGTAGGTGTAGACCGCCTAGTTGGGGTCCTCAGGATGCTAAGAATCAATGGCTGGAGACTAATAATGATATGGCTTGAAACTGTTCTCAGTGGTGCAGACGCATTATTCACTTATTTTGACTTCCCAGATCCATTAGTTCCTAATGTTTTTCCATCCTACTATTCTCTCTTCACATTTCTGCTTATTACAGTACTTTTCAATTCCTTTATTCTCTGATTTGTCTATTTTTGTGTGGTACATGGAGAGTGACGACTCGAACTGCTATGCATCTATGCTGAAACCTAAGACTTCATATGCTATCATATACAAAAAATAGTACTCGTTTTCGTGTCCATTTAATCTGTCGCTTTTCCTGGCTACATATATGTTTCGCACGAAAAGCTTTGTTTCAACCAGTAACTCTATAGTCGCGGAGGATTACTCATGCAAATCATTTATTCTAGTAGGTAATGTTCATATCGGTTTAATCCTTTCACATAAACAACTGTGTTTCTAGAATGTTGTGTACACTTCCTCTATGATTTTTATCTGGCTTACATTTTTAGGTCGTAATGAAGAGTCGGTTCTCCTCGATGAATCCTCACCGTTGAATCCTATCCCATTTCAGGAGGATGTAAGTCAGATTTTACGTCTTGATTAACTATAGAGTCGTAGGTTACAATCAATAATCCTTACACAGTCTGTGAAGACATGAAAAGACTAGCTGTCTTCGATCATAGGTGCCTGCGCTCTATTTCCCGTGTAAAGTGGTATAATAAGGTGAGTAACATTGAGGTTAAGCGTAGAGTTCTAGGTAAAAAGGGAAATCAGTCAACGAAGTCGTGAAGCTACAAAGACTGAGATGGTTAGGACATGTGTTACGTATGCCAAGTCATCGCCTCCCTCGACGAGCAATGTTAGAGGATATAGGGTCAGGCTGGAAAAAAGCTAGCGGCGGTCAAACAAAATCTTGGCACCAGTCAATGAAATCCACGACAGTTGGTCTAAGCCACGTAGGACGGTGTAGACTTCCAGGCTGGGGTCCTCGGGACGGTAAAAATCTATGGTTGGAAACAATTGGTCACATGGCTCAAAATCGTTCTCAGTGGCGCAGATGCATCCACTCCTTGTGACTTATGATCTCCAATGAAACTGTTTTGTTTTTCTTTATTACTCCTTTGTCTCACACCTCTGCTCACTGTTTCTATTATGCTTTTCTTGTACTTTCTTCTCTTGCTTCGCGTGCTACACGGTGTGGCGACTTGAACTTCCGCACATTTGTGCAAAGTTCTATGTCGAAAACAGACAGACAGACACAGTCTGTGTGGCACATCCTAATACACAGACAAAAAAGAAAATAATCAAGGTAGAACCGTCGATGTGAATGTATAGATCTTTGAAACCAATCCACATAGTCTGTACTGACATAACTGACGTTACTAGACGTGTACTGGAACTGTATTCTAAAACAATCTAGAGTGAAAAAACTTTACAAGGTTCTCAAATCCAAAACTAAATGTGGCCTATTATTATTATGCAGCATGAGAGCACACTATTCTTTTACTTCATTGGTACATTTTAAACCTTACACTATGCTATGTATGATGAATACCGTCGATCATTGTCTGATAATTATCTTATTTAGGCTAATAAGCTGGGAATACCATCAAATAATTAAATGAAAATCTTACCTAACTATTCTTTTCTACTATCGTTAGTTACAGATTTACTCATTTGATTGTATTTATTCAGAACTGAAGAATTCCAATAATTTTCTTAATAAAATCGATTCCTAGTTACCTTTACTAACATAAGAAAAAGATGTAAACATCGAAAAAAATTACCTTTCCGACGATTCATTTTCATAAACTGTACAATCGTTATTATATTTAACAAAGAATGCATAAGACCAATCAGATACTGGGAAAAATTTTCCTCAGAAATGTATTACATAATGTAAGGTGTAGTCTAGATAGAGTGACTAATTGAATATTAGAAAAGGGGGCAGAAGTTTTAATGACGTAATAAGTGTGAAAAAATGACTACTGAAGACTGGAACTAGTGGAAAGACTTAAAAGTGTTTTTTTAAATCTGTATGGAAACGCAATGTCATTGATAAACCGTAGTAGTCGAATAATACATGAGGATAATGAGAATAATAATACTGGTAGTAAACTTGCGTAATAAGAGAAAGCAAAATTATAGTGAAGTTTCTCTGGCCACAGTAGGGTGAGTGAATGTATGTTGTGCTTTCGAATACACAGGTCCGGTTTCAGATCCCAGGGAACCAGTGATTCAGCTATATACAGACGGCGTATTCGAACTCCTTTCGTACGATATTGAGAGACCCTGTGAAGCATTCGTGTTGGGCATTCGACGGCCAAGTTGACAAGGTGTTGGTGGACGGAGCTACCAATATTCTTCTTTTCTGCTCCGGCTAGCCAAACTGGACAAGGTTCCAGAATACGTTTGCGGACTTTACATTGCGTACGGCCGATATACTTTGCTCCACATGAACAAGTAAACTGATGAATACACATTTTACGAACATCTATCTGAAAATAAGTAAATTAAAAAGCGAAATTAATCATTTCGCTTTCAAGAATGATAATCTCTGTCTGTTTACGTTCTGAAGGTAACCTTTTTAATTATTTTCTTATTTTAGGAGGAACCCTTAACTCCTGACGACCAAGAAGAAAAGAGTCACTGTGAGACCACTCCTAGTCATTCACCGCTTACAATAACCTGCCCAAAGTTACATTACAACATAACCCCATCAAAAACAAGCATTTCTGTTACCCCTATCGGTAGCGATGGTGAAACCTCACCACGGCTAGTGAATACATCAAGCGTCACTCTGAAATCCAATGTAAGTAATCCTGGTTCACCTCCAACAATCACTTCGACTACACGTTTGCCTTCATCTCCTGTGAGCACCAACAACATATCTGTTGTACAACGGCCAAATAGAGGCAGCTCTCTTGTAACAAACTCATCAGTATGTGCATCACCAACTCCTTTCGTATCATTTGCTTCCCAGCGTTCACCGTCACTTGGTTCACAGACAAAGTATGTGTCTGTAACAAATCGCTCTTTAAAAGTTGTTAGTTCTGGAAATGCTTCCAATACTTCCGGCAACGTTATAAAACCGGTAGCTTCTCCTATATCATCTGGAATCCGTTTATCAAGCACACCAACATTAACAAATCAACGTATCTTGATCCAACCAAGCAATTGCAATGTCCGTTCTACTGTTTTCCCTCGACAGCCTCAAGTAAAGTAAGTTTCAACATTGTCAATCGTTGTCACATAAACACTGGTATCGTTCTCATCCGCCTACTTCGGAACCCTGATTTTTGGTTTTTAATGAATGTATCAGTGGAATTTGGGCACTGTGGTAAAATATGATTCCATATTAGATTTGTTTATCTGATATAACACTGATACAGTATTAACAACTGGATAACGTTTCGAGCACAATTTATCACCCATAATTATATCATGCAATTTCATAACTTGCTTTATATGATTTTACTCCCTGTATATATTCCAATTTTCCTAGATTTTTAAGTCTCTATGACTGATCCAGGCAAGATCTAGTTTATCTTTGCCCTTGAGACTAGTAGTATGTCTTATTCCAGATAGAATTTTCTACCAAGAAGAAATCCGTCTTTTCCTGAATGTTGATTTGATACTGCTATGCAACACTTAGTCCTTGATTAGATTAGATTTGCTATTTAATGAATAAACTTTAATAACACAGTTTTTTGTTCAGCGAAGAAATTTCTTTTCAACGACTTCATTTTCAAGCTGTACAGTCGTATTTATATTACAGAAAAAGGTTATTAAGTGGCACTAAATAATTGCTCAGTCAATGTACGTATATGTGATAAAAGTTATAAGGGGTAGAGTTGAAGTGGATAAATTACAAAAATATGAAAGATTGTTCTATAACAAAAATGTCAAGTGTTGTCTAAAAAATTATGAAAATTAGGAGTACGATTACGATAAGAATGAAGATGTGAAGTGAAGTGGAAAGAATTCAAGTGGTAAAATAAAATAAAAACTAGAAAGAAAATTATTATGACCAAGGTAAAGAAAGGGGTTTGACAAAACGCTTTTGAACACATAATTTAGGTTTCTGTTCATGTATAGCTAAAGCTTCGGCTATGCATAAGTGCAGAAAACGTAAACTTTTGGATCGATTGGATTTTGCCATGTATATAACTTTGAAAGATGAATCACGTGGGGCTAAATGACCAGACTCTAACAGGTGATCACAAATAGACGACTTTGCAGTTCTACGTTCGCCTTTCATTAACCAAACCGGATAGTGTTCAGCTACACGTTTTCGGAGATTACGCTTACAACGTCCAATATAAACAGCTCCACAAGAGCAAGTAAAAGAGTAAATGCACATAGATGTGGACAAAAGCGGTAATCTATCCTTGACGCATTGTCTGATCATATTTCGGCTGGTAAAAACTAGTTGCAGGTCAGCTGCAGGAAAAGTGCGTTTAACACATTTAGATAAACGATTTTTAATCAATTCTGAAATGGTGTCACCTTTGAATGCAAGACTCATAAACAGCTTTTTCTTTGGTACTGTGACTTGTCTCGGGGTGGATTCTTTCTTGATGTTACGTTCAATGAACCTTGTGGGATAACCATTATTAAGGAGATTTGATCGAAGGTTGTCTAGTTCCCTATCGATTGTCTCTGGAGAGCAGATTTTACGAATTCTGGAGCATAAGGAGTGAATAAGATTTCTCTTTCTCCCTAAAGGTACCCAACTGTTGAAGTTAGTGTACTGCCCAGTGAATGTTGGCTTTCGGTAAATCGACCTTAGAAGCGTTCCATTCTCTCTTCTATCTAGCTTAACATCAAGAAAGTGAAACGAAGAATCCGACTCTTCTTCGATCGTGAAAAGCAAAGATGGGTGAGAACCATTAAATATTCTAAGAAGTTCGGCAGTTGAAGTGTTTTCATCACATACAATGAAGGTATCATCAACATATCTTTTATACATAAACAGACTATCGATGGTTTCCTTTAGTGGGCCATTCTCTAAGCTAGCCATGAAAACGTCCGCTAAGAGCGGTCCTAAAAGGGACCCCATGGCGACTCCATCTCTTTGGTTGTAGATGACATCATTAAATCTAAATTGCACATTCAGTGTGCATCTCAATAGTAGTTGTTTAAGATAATCAGTTGGTAAGCCAATGTTCATGCTATTTGATTCAATATACTCGCATAGATAGCAGATAGTGTCTACTAGTGGTACATTTGTGAACAATGAACAAATATCTAACGAAATCATATGCTTACCAGTCACATTAATTTCATCAACACAACTGACGAAGTCAAAAGTGTCGGAAAGACTATGTTTACATAGATTCAATCTAACTGGTTCCAGAATTTCCGCAAGCCATTTAGCGGTAGAGTGATACGGCGAATTCAGCATATCCAATACAGGTCGCAGAGGGACATCATCTTTGTGCACCTTTGGGAGACCATATAAACGAGGGATAGTTGAACCAGATGGTTTAAGCTGTTCATACATATATGGAGTAATGATGCATTCTTGCTTCAATTTCGTCAAAGTTTTAGATAATTCCTTCTCAATATTATCTGTCTTGTCCTTTTGATCAGGTGATTTTAGAAATTTATCTTTATCACTCAGGATGGTACATAATTTATTGACATAATCATCACGATTAAGAATAACAATACCTGATCCCTGTTGAACAATTCAAATCTTCATTACTTCATTGTTATTACCAGTACCAAAGAACGCAAGGCAGACAACGACAAATGTTATCAAAAGAACACAAAAGACAACTAAATGAATTGCTTAACAACAAAAACATAATACTGATTCGTCCAGACAAGGGATCAGGTATTGTTATTCTTAATCGTGATGATTATGTCAATAAATTATGTACCATCCTGAGTGATGAAGATAAATTTCTAAAATCACCTGATCAAAAGGACAAGACAGATAATATTGAGAAGGAATTATCTAAAACTTTGACGAAATTGAAGCAAGAATGCATCATTACTCCATATATGTATGAACAGCTTAAACCATCTGGTTCAACTATCCCTCGTTTATATGGTCTCCCAAAGGTGCACAAAGATGATGTCCCTCTGCGACCTGTATTGGATATGCTGAATTCGCCGTATCACTCTACCGCTAAATGGCTTGCGGAAATTCTGGAACCAGTTAGATTGAATCTATGTAAACATAGTCTTTCCGACACTTTTGACTTCGTCAGTTGTGTTGATGAAATTAATGTGACTGGTAAGCATATGATTTCGTTAGATATTTGTTCATTGTTCACAAATGTACCACTAGTAGACACTATCTGCTATCTATGCGAGTATATTGAATCAAATAGCATGAACATTGGCTTACCAACTGATTATCTTAAACAACTACTATTGAGATGCACACTGAATGTGCAATTTAGATTTAATGATGTCATCTACAACCAAAGAGATGGAGTCGCCATGGGGTCCCCTTTAGGACCGCTCTTAGCGGACGTTTTCATGGCTAGCTTAGAGAATGGCCCACTAAAGGAAACCATCGATAGTCTGTTTATGTATAAAAGATATGTTGATGATACCTTCATTGTATGTGATGAAAACACTTCAACTGCCGAACTTCTTAGAATATTTAATGGTTCTCACCCATCTTTGCTTTTCACGATCGAAGAAGAGTCGGATTCTTCGTTTCACTTTCTTGATGTTAAGCTAGATAGAAGAGAGAATGGAACGCTTCTAAGGTCGATTTACCGAAAGCCAACATTCACTGGGCAGTACACTAACTTCAACAGTTGGGTACCTTTAGGGAGAAAGAGAAATCTTATTCACTCCTTATGCTCCAGAATTCGTAAAATCTGCTCTCCAGAGACAATCGATAGGGAACTAGACAACCTTCGATCAAATCTCCTTAATAATGGTTATCCCACAAGGTTCATTGAACGTAACATCAAGAAAGAATCCACCCCGAGACAAGTCACAGTACCAAAGAAAAAGCTGTTTATGAGTCTTGCATTCAAAGGTGACACCATTTCAGAATTGATTAAAAATCGTTTATCTAAATGTGTTAAACGCACTTTTCCTGCAGCTGACCTGCAACTAGTTTTTACCAGCCGAAATATGATCAGACAATGCGTCAAGGATAGATTACCGCTTTTGTCCACATCTATGTGCATTTACTCTTTTACTTGCTCTTGTGGAGCTGTTTATATTGGACGTTGTAAGCGTAATCTCCGAAAACGTGTAGCTGAACACTATCCGGTTTGGTTAATGAAAGGCGAACGTAGAACTGCAAAGTCGTCTATTTGTGATCACCTGTTAGAGTCTGGTCATTTAGCCCCACGTGATTCATCTTTCAAAGTTATATACATGGCAAAATCCAATCGATCCAAAAGTTTACGTTTTCTGCACTTATGCATAGCCGAAGCTTTAGCTATACATGAACAGAAACCTAAATTATGTGTTCAAAAGCGTTTTGTCAAACCCCTTTCTTTACCTTGGTCATAATAATTTTCTTTCTAGTTTTTATTTTATTTTACCACTTGAATTCTTTCCACTTCACTTCACATCTTCATTCTTATCGTAATCGTACTCCTAATTTTCATAATTTTTTAGACAACACTTGACATTTTTGTTATAGAACAATCTTTCATATTTTTGTAATTTATCCACTTCAACTCTACCCCTTATAACTTTTATCACACATATACGTACATTGACTGAGCAATTATTTAGTGCCACTTAATAACCTTTTTCTGTAATATAAATACGACTGTACAGCTTGAAAATGAAGTCGTTGAAAAGAAATTTCTTCGCTGAACAAAAACTGTGTTTTTACTTATAAATAAATGGGTATTTTTCGAAACTTTGATAACTATTTTCCGTATACTCATATAACTAGAATTTCGTCTTCATACTAACCCTATGTTACTGATTATTCCTATGTTCCGTTTTAGGGATTCCTGTGAATTTGGATACGCAGAAAGATGAAACAGTGTTTATCAAATTTTGTACATGCGGATCACATAACCTCATCTGATAGTTTCAACTACTGTAATAGTGCTCCTAATATATTTTAAGCTAAATCCAGAACTGTACAGTACCTAATATTATTTATCAATAATATATACATTTCCAGTTCATCTGACAACACCATTCAGTTTTCATTTTTGGTAAGATATTGCATTGAAACATCAAAAGTCCAGCATACCAGTATTCAATTATACTGCCTCAGT